CTCAAACTGAATGGCACACTAACCTAAATCACAGTATTCAAACTGAATGGCACACTAACCTAAATCACAGTATTCAAACTGAATACACACTGACCTAAATCACAGTATTCAAACTGAATGGCACACTAACCTAAATCACAGTACTCAAACTGGATGGCACACTAACCTAAATCACAGTACTCAAACTGAATAGCACACTTTAACCTGAATCACAGTACTCAAACTGAATGGCACACTAACCTAAATCACAGTATTCAAACTGAATAGCACACTTTAACCTGAATCACAGTACTCAAACTGAATGGCACACTAACATAAATCACAGTATTCAAACAGAATGGCACCCTTTAACATAAATCACAGTATTCAAACTGAATAGCACACTAACCTAAATCACAGGATTCAAACTGACAAACGACATGTATAATCTGTCAAATATTTGCTGTGAATATTTAATGATAACCTTCGAACTTTGAAAACTCAGATGATTTCTCAACACAGTGACGCATATTTGTTAAACACAGCAACACACATGTACATGTACACAGTTTTTAAAACTGACATTTTAAATTTGCATTCACAAAATTTGAGATCAAATATGACTAACTTTTAAAATAAGAAAAGAATTCTGAATCATCAATAAGTTAAGTCACATTCTTCATTATGGTTGTCATGATTACTGTCTTCAGATTATGTCTTCAGATTACATCTAAGACATATCGGCACATTGCAGTAACTTATCAGCTGAGCTACACTATATGTATGTATTTAACATGCATCATTGAGGAACACTGAAGATATATCACTGATGGATGTACATACACTTTGGAAAAGATTTTTGCATAGTGGGCACAGAGGGCGCTATACCATTATTACACAGACTGTGATTACATAAAACAACCATACATATGAGGATTGTTTTGTTTTTTTAATTCATAATACCTCCACACTAAGTTTCATTTGAGTGGGGCTTCAAGATCATAATTTAAAAATAAAACGATTAAGAGGTCTTATTCATTAAGATTTTACGGTTGTTAAATGGGATAGATTGTGTACTGTAAATTGCTTAACTTTATCCTGCAGTTTTAAGTTTGACTGTTTTGTAAACAAAACAATAATGTAAACATTTATTCGATTATTAGGTTTTGATTTTATAAATTATCAAATATTCAATCGTGATTCAGTTTTCTGTATCCTAGGATGTTCACCAGTGACTGTATTTTAGACCCCTTCCTTCTAAATTTATACAAAAATTATTGCCATTGCAACTTTGAAACATGGAACACTTCATACTTCTTAGGCTAGTTGCGCTGAGCGTTTTTCAAAGCAGGATTTAAAAGCACATTGGGCCATTCCAGTTTATACCTGCACCCCCCCCCCCTGTTGATGAGCTTGTGTGTTTACTTCACACAGGGTATAATTTTCATGGGTG